CAGACTGTACTGTAAGTGAGAGGCCTAGAAGTAAGAATCTGCCTTTTTCTTCAAATGCGAATCTCTCGGCGAAAAATCATCGTATCGAGATGCATAAAAAAGCATTTTAAAGAGGAGACTCTGTACTTTCGTACGCTTTTGATCCCAATAAGCTACAATTTTTTGTTTATACCGTGCACCGTCGCAAACTCGAACCATTATTTTTCAATTTTGCATGCTCGCGCTTTGTCATCCGCCATTTTCAATAAATTTATTTTGCAACATTGAAATAAATTGATTCTTAAAGTAGAGATTTTTAGCTTCATTTCCATATTTTATAGAACTTTCTATCTTTATTATTTACGAAGTTATCGTCAGTTGAAATTTGATGAATTCTTCCCACATTTTCAGTGTACCGCTTTTTTTTCGGGTGAGTGTATAATATATACAAAATGTGAAATAGACGCTTAGCAAGGACAAGCCATTTATTATATATACATATATATGACTTTACAGTAAGGGTGTTAGAAGCGCATTGACACAAATTATCGCGTCCGTTTTCGTTTTACGATTGCTATAGCAGTGTCAAGTGCGCGTATGTGGTGTAAAAGCACATGTCTGTATCACAGCTTTTATGTATCCGCGCCCCTATAATAATGTCACTTCTAATAATAACCGAGAAAGCCACACTATACAGAGTTCAATTATCTTCATCATTGAGAGCGACGGGCGGCTCCATCAAACGTTTCGTAATATTATGCAAAGTTTGCCTGTTTTTATATTGCATTCCTTTCGACGGTATTATTTCTTACTTTAAGTAAATTATATATTAAACAATCTTACTTTTCTGTAATAAATTGCATACATTTCTTACACGTTGTAAGGTATTTTAATTTACTACTGAATATATATTTTCTATATAGTAAATTTTTTCAATTAAAATCTGCAGTCACTATACGCAAAACAGAACAAATTATATGACTATTTATTACATTTTTTTATATTATTGATACTTAAATATTTTTAGAACGTATTCAGTTAATACAAATGTTAAAAAATCTCTTAATTTTCCGGACATTTTTCAAATATATCTCTAGATCTCTATTATCAGATTAGACTTTTATCGGACTTTTTAGAAACGTCATTTTTGTCGGAATTAATAATCGAAATCGTTTACCACAAACTGGCACCCCTAATATATTAAAAACTTTTATCTCTCAAAATAATCATTGTTCACGATTGTCGTGGCCAAACACGGATCCTCTGATTATCCGTTCTCCCAGCTAGAGGAGGATTTCCTAGAGCGAGTCACGAAAGAAGATATCTTTCGGCGAGAAACAGCTCGCAGAAACCGCAGAAACAAAGCGCGATCCGCCTTCTTCGAACCAGGGGAGGAGACGAAAGAAAATTAGCGGACAGCTCTGAGCGGTGCCATTTTCCTTTCCTCTTTTTTTCTTTAACATATTCCTTTTTTTCCCCACCGCCCGCCATCTCGGCCTCGTCCATCCTCGTCATTTTATTGTTCCAGTAGGAGGAGGTAGACCGTCGCTAATAGAATCCGCGGTCCTTTATTTACTCGGTCCCCCGCAGTCCTTTGTTTGCTTCTCACCAATTTCTGTCTTTCTTCTCCCCCTCCCCTCCTTTCTCTCTCTCTTTCTCTCTCTCTCTTTTTCTCTCCGGCAGCCTCGCTAAGCCCTCTTACCAACGGGACTCTTATAATGTATAATCCTTTGCTCTCTGATCGTGACCACGTCCTGATTGCAATGGCCACAGCGAATGAAATAACTCGCACAACTATTTTTCCGACTCGATTCAAGCGCCATTTATAATTTGTTAGGACTAGACTTTTATGATCAGAGACGGAGAAATTGTTTTCTTTTTATTACAGCTGACGCAAAACAATTCGAGGTTGATAATGATTCTTTTTGTACTTTTCTCACCAATTGCGCCCCAATTGTCTTCCACGTTCATCAAGCTTCTCTTCAACGGCGTGTCATTTGGCAAGTTTTTCAAAGCTTCGCTCTCGTTAGCGTTCAAGATTGCTCCGACGAGAGAAGAGAACAACGGTCGCCAATAACTGGCGAGTTTAAGCTCGTTGACATCGTACTCATGAGGTCAGCTCGACAGACTTCGATTCCCACCGATCTTACTTTCGTACGTACTTAGTACAATTAGACGCGCGCGCGAGCTTCAAGTATGCACCGACTTGTATGCATCGCTGCTACGAGGTCGCGTGTCGCGGTCGAGTGGTGGGCAGTTTTGTCAGTATGCCGATGGTTATTTGCTTATTATTTCACTACATTTCCACGCATTCATCAGTGTTTTTAGCAGTTGATAAAATTGCAATGAAAACAGCAACTTAAATTGGCAACAAAAAAAGTTTAGAATAAAAAGAATAGTTTTGAATAATAATAAATCGGATATTAAACAGCAAAATCTTGTGTATTGCATTATAATTATTGCGTGTGGAAGCTGAATCATAGATAGAAACGCATGACTAAGCGTTAGATCACTGATAAACACTAATCGATATTTATAATGAGATAATGACGGAATGTTATTCGTAAAAAATTGATAACGTCAATACTGCATGGCAGGCATTAATATTCACGCATATTTGTTTCTCAAGCGTCGATCGAACGCTGCTAAAAGCTTGCTCTATTACGAGACGAATATGTAAAATCTACGTTGAGGTGAGTGCAATAGTACAGTTACATGTGCAGAAACGCGTGACGCTTACACAAGTTGGCATATTTATTCGCACTAGTGGCATTTGTGGTATTTTTGCAGTTCTAATACGCACTGTAATTATTAAAGCAAAGATTTTTTTCACATCGATAAAGAATGGACTTTACTCTTTAGCAGCTCTGAGACATAAAATTCTATCTTAAAAGAAGTATGTTATTTACTTTTGAGACCTCTTTTTCGCGTTTCTAATTGGTCAATTTGCGTTGCGCGTTATTACGTGTCATCTAGCGGTTATCATCGAGACGATTGCATTTGGCAGCTTTACTTTGACAGCCGTTTTACAGTTTGTATCTTTGTTATTGTGCAAAAAGCAGAAGTGCTTTAAAGTGATAAAACGTCATTTTTTTATTACACGGAGAATGTTTGAAATTAGTATTAAAGTGCATAGTTTTTTATGCAATGAGGAATGCATCGTGGCAGATCGATATGCAAGCGACCGTGTCTGCTCACGTAGCACGAGACAGTAAGGTTTCTGGGAACTCTGTAGGGAAACGAGTCCCATCTTGATCCACATCGAAGGTACGCAAACCTCCGGTATCTGTCCGCGGTCGACCTGAGGGAGTTTTACATCGGCGTAAACGCGAATAAGTGGCCTCGCCGCGCGCAATCTCGTCGTTGTGGTTTCGCGCTGCGCGCCGTTTTCTGCTAAAGCGTGACCGAAGCGTTCGTAACGGATGTTCGTACTCGATTTTCGAAATGAGCGGCTGCGCGACGCGAAAGTTAAAGCAAAAGATGCGTCATTAAGATGCATCGTTGCTCGTCGAACATGTTGTCGTTGATAATTAAATCGTATCTCAAGTGCGATATGTTAAAGATTGATTAAGCGCAATATATCCAGTATATTGTCTTTCTTATGAATATAACAAAATATCAGTTGCAATAAAATTAAATTGCGCGCACAGAGTTTATCGATGTGTAAGTGTGTTGGAGATAGTAACTTGCATCGCCATGCATCTTGATTATTATGATCGCCAACAGTTCCGTTCTCGACTGAGGCGAGCAGCCACACCTGAACGACCTTGATGTGATCAGTCATCGACCATCGAGATGCGAGCACATATACGTATATTACGATAGTAATCTGCTCTGCGTAAGTCCAAGATCTGACAATCAGACCATAGGTTCTCACGTGCGTTCATAAGTGGCTTGCAAATCGTTCTTCTTCCTTCGTGGGCCTTCAATATCTTTCTCTCGCGAGGCACGTTTCACTAGAATTACCGTATTTGATCTATACTACTAATTTCGATCACTTATCACCGCAAAATGCGCTAGAAAATTGCGATATGTAAATTTTATGTCGAGATTTTTATTTTTTTTTACATTCAACACTTGTATATTGAAATTTAAGTTGAAAATTGCGTGATTCTTTACGATTTTGTTATTCAAAATAATAAAATTATAAAAGTTAAAATTAGAATTATCATACTTGTTACAGTTTAATTTCTCGAAATTATTTTGATTCTTGAAGAACGAGAAGCTTTTTTAAACAAAGAATTTTTTTTAAATTATGCAGCTGGAAAATTTGTTTTAAATATTTTTATGTTTATAGTATTTATTTCCACACTATATATACGTATATCCATGCTTCGTCTCCATTAACGCGGACAATCTCTTGAATTTTGGAGAAGGTTCTTTGGAGTAGAGTGTATATTTTCGAACGTGATCATTCTAAGGCGGGGTGAAAGAACGGGATGAACGTAAGATTCTTATGCATGTCACTAGAAGAAAAAAAGGATACCGTAGAAAAATACTTCAACGACCTGTTTGCCGGCTCGTAGTGAACAGACGGAAATATCATTGCCACGCTCCCGGTAAAAAAAATACGCTCCCAGAGAATGCTTTTTCTACGCGTAGAGAAATATATAGAAGAGGATAATAGAGAGGAAAAGAGATGAAAGTACGGCAGACACATGGCGCTACGCAAACGCCAGCACCGTAAACTGTCGGCGATACGACTTGCACTTGGCGGTAAAAAGGCTTTTGCTATCCCCATTTGCTTTCACGTTTTTTCCTATCCTGTAATTTTTTTCTTCTCGCGTTTTTCAGCGTTTAATCCTTTCGCACGATGGCTCATCTGGCCACCAAGCGTGTTCCACTCTTCATGCGATGTTGCGATGTAAAGTTCCGAATACGCGATTGAGATTGCGTTGCAAACGGAAAATTGGAACTTTCATTAATTTAATATAATAAATTAATTTCATCCTAATTGCGATGTGATTAAACAGTCCAGTGCAATACGGCGGTGTAATTTAGTTTTTTTTTTTAATTCGAGAGAAGATTAATTTAATTTTCTCACTTTTAGGAGTAATTTTGCTTTCATTTATGAAAAAGTGAATTAATTTATTTGTTTATTATTGAATTAGGTTTATTGTTATATTGTTAAATTCTTCAGTTGTACTCTTTAGGATATTTTATTAAATACATTTACTGACAATTTAAAAATGTTTCTGTGCTATACGCTTGTACAATATATTTCTTAGCAGTAGTAACATAATGCAATTTTAATCTTTTATTTTTTTTTTATGTGCAAAGTATAGTAGCTACGTATAGTAGCTAAGTCCATCATTTATTCCGTCTATTCCGACTGTCTATTCTGTCACCATTTATTCTTTGTATTCCAATTACAAAGCGGCAATACTCGTTGAGTGATCAGCAATGTCATCGGTCAACTTTCGAAATGGTCAATTACGCATCGCCTTACCGGAAAAAGGATCGTGTTCCCGATCTTGAGGGATCAAGAAAGTGCCGGCTCTTTTTGCCGGTGAATGTCCACACGTGGCCAACAGACGTGACACGTCTTGTTACGGACCGGCGAATCGTCGACCTAATTGGACTCTTTCGAAAAATCTCTCCTCGGTTGCATTTTCCGGTCGACCCAAATCCCCCCCTATGATTTTTCGATAATTACACTCAACCATTCATTCGTCTCGATCGAATCTCCGAATTGATCGAATTCCTGCTGGTCTCTTATCTCGATGTCTCACGTTGTCCAACGAGTCTCGATTCGGTGGCTCGAAAAACATTAAATATTTGACGGGTAAATTATACACTTTTTGCTTATTCGTGTATACGTCGCGGTGCATCGTCAAATTAGACAAAAAAGTTGTATGGATTTGTACAATTTTATCAGACACGATATTAATCTTTGGATTATGTTAATTTCGAATTTACAATAGTTTTTTTCATATTTTTTGCGTGTATATAAAATAATATAGCGTAACTCGCATTTTAATATTTGGTAGAAATATTTTAAGATAAAAATATTTTTTAATTTTATTTTACTTGACGATTAGATATACCTTTATTTTAACTGAATCTTAATTTTGTGCGCATTTTAATTACGCACAATTTTATGCGCAAATAAACTTTTTATTGAGAAAACTGATTATGCTCATACTGTTATATTTATTTGTGTTTTGATAAATGAAACATTGACAGCTTTCTCATAATATTCTTCTCACACTTGATGCGTGCGCTAGTATATTTGTTGAGCGTCGCATTACGTTCTCAGGACGTTAAACTTAACGATGTATCATGGGACCATTACCTTATCAATGAACCACCCTCGAAGTGCGAGGGAGTACAAAAATAAACCATTGCTCTTCGTGAGAACCCACTCACCTTTTTCCGTGCTCTCTTTTTCTCCGCCTCCTTTCTTTCTTTCTTCGCTTTCTTATTCTCCTTTGCTCTCGATAGCTTCGTTAAAAGCATGCTTGTGATGCACATGGTACCGATCGTTGCGTGGACGTTGTCAACAAGGATAGCTGACAAAAACAGGGCCTCTGTTTTACATGCTCAAGAATGCGTATTACATGCATTGTAGATATAAAGTTTATTATTATCTACTATAAACAGCGCACTTTGTCGTTTATTATGCATTGTTAGCAATAGACATTGCAATCGCACGTGGGAGTTTTTCGTTTAAATTTAAAGATATAGATTAATTATTTATGCACGAATTACGGTATGAACATCACATATGTTAAAATATTGGAATAGACATGTGTGAAGTTAGCCCTGCACTTTTTGAATTTTATATTTTTTATATTTCTGTCAATTATGCTGAATTGTGCTATGTTTGTACACACTTGTGCCGGAAAATCTTGGTAGGACACACGTGCGTGCTTTTCCAGTGTAGCTGCGTATGAAACGTGAACACTTCGCGGCACGACCGCGATCATCTATGGCGTTACCGCAGGTCGCGTGTTAAAAAAACCGATGGTCCGTCTTTGTAGATACACGTCACTTCTTTCAAAACATGTCTTCGCTGTCACAATCATCAACGGGTTCGCATTTTACGATCGTACTGACCACGAGCTGTCGAGTGTTACGTTTCAAAAGCCGCAGAACACACGCCGTTGCTCTCTTTTCACGAGAACACATCTCGGTCCATTCCCTTTATTTGGATTCTGTTCTGGATTGACTTTTTTTTTAAATATTGCAGAGCAAACACGATATCGCTTTACACACGTTTTCATGACATTTAATAGCGTACAACACTGATAGATATACTGATAGCAAGTATACTAATTTTAATGCGAACTACTTGCGGAATACGAATCTTTAATGTTTTATCGTATAAGGCATTTATATATCATTTATAATATATATTTTAGAATTATTGTAAATATTAATAGAGCAAAAAACATAAAATTTGAAATATTAACTTTTTTATAAGCTACATTTGTTAGACCTAAACAAAACTTTGATCAAACAACGTAGATTAATTAGATTCTAATTAGAATCAGAGGGATCATCACTTATCCGAGCAATCCGATATCCTTATAAACAGAATTGTTTGTCTGCTCCCTCGCAGTATATCGTGGACGACCCCCTTAAACCCATAGTCACATTATCCACGTGGGAAGTTTTATTCGGTCTTACTATCGTTCCATTCTCAAAAGCGCTCTTTTATCTTCATAACCTCTCGGAACTTTTTGCTTGTCTGTACATATCAAGCATTGATTGCAATACCATGATCCGCGAAGCAAATTTTCTTTTTTTTTGTAGTTCCTATATTTTCAAATTTCCTTACAAATGTGTAATTAAACTCGATAATTAATTAAAATAAAATAATGTGTACTTTGATTTTTATTATTGTATTACTCGTGTCTTATCGAAATGAGAATCTAACTTTCTACAAAACATTTTGGCGTAATATTTTATTATTATTATATGTGTATTGTATATGCGACTAGAGAGTAGCTTAATATCTTGAAGAAAGAATGGAAATTGCAGCAAATAATATTTTATATGCATGCAATAATATAATCTTATGATTACCACGATTTGCAATGCTTTGCGATCTGCTTTGCAAAAAATAAAAGAGCAATGTTTAATCTTTTTCTTTTTTCGTTCTTTCGGATTCATTAAATCACGATTAATCATATGGTCATACGATACGGGCTTTCGATACGATGAGCACGATTGAATCGCGACAACTTCTTACTCTCGGATTCTCATCTCTTCCCTTCCGTTAATTGATCGCGTCCGTTGACCCTTAATTATTCAACGTACCGCCATTGACCTTTCCCTCTTGTTTACCGACGACTCCCTTGGACAATCGGCATCGGTTTTCTGTCGGCGACGTTCCCGGCCTTAATGGATGCTAATTCGATGAGGACGGTATTACGGTGGCGTTTCTTAATTAGCGGCTTACGCTAGCATCGCAGTGATCAGCGTCCTGGACTAATTACACACTTCTGAACCAAGAGAAAGAGCGAGTGAGAGAATATTTTTTTCTATTACTGGCATTCTCGTTAGTTTACTTTTTTCAAGTTCGGTAATTTTCTAAATTTCGATTCTCTATTCATTTGAAGATGTAAGGATTCGGTTAACCGGTGTACCAAGAGTTTTTCGGAAGGGAGAAGAATGAAGAGAGGGAAGATCTCTCAAGTCCATTAACATTCGGCGCGGCAAATTACAAGCTGAGACACTAATGGACCCGGTACGGGTGGTTGGGCGATCCACCGGGCATTGATGGTGGGTGGTGGCTGACTGAAGGTACATCTTTTCCTTGTCTCCGTCTGCCATCCCGTAGCAGGGCCAACATCTAGATGAGTTTTCGTGATACCGCGCCATAGGCTTCTCCGAAAAAAGAGTGTTCGGCCTTTTGAGAGAGAGCCAGTCATTCAACGTGACTATCTTCGTAATCTGTAACCACGTTTTGTTGCTTGCGATATAAACGGAAAATTCCAAAACAAATTTTTATTTATCTTGCAATCGTTTTTTATTTGCAATGATATTATAAGTGGAAATTACTTCTATACATTGATTTTTATATTAGTTTGATCAATTTATATAAAACTAAAATTTATTTTATTTGAGAATACTTTTACTTTTTATTTATTTTCGACAGAATATTCACGTCATGATATGTATAAAAATTTGGTTTTTTTTTCTCTTGCATTTTGTGTTTAATCTCATATCATATATATTAATAAACTTGTCGCATTGTCATAACTTTTTTATTGTTTTATTTCAACGCTGTTTTACTGATTAATCTCGGGTTAATTAATAGAAGAGTTACGAATATTTTGTAGTGGATAGAGCAAGCATGTGCGAGAAAATTGGATAAATGTATTTTTTTTGCTGGAAATTACTATTAATTACTAAATACTCTTTTAAGCACGTTTCGATGGTGCTATTATATATAAGCGGATGCCGCTAATTTTAATTATAGTGGTTATATTGTTTTACAGTAGGATCTCGTTTAGTTTGGTTCGTTTGGCTATGTAATTTGGAGTAGAATACATGGAGTAGAAGGTTAGAAAAGATGTTAAAATTCTGCAAGAAGGATCTTTTCTACTTAGCCTCAGGGTTTGGTGGATCACAACGTTAATGTTAGAATCATAAAATTGAAAGGATTCTAACACATATCATTAGAAAGCTAGAAATCTTCAAGGATATAAATTACGCAACCCGATATTAAAGTACGAATATTTTTGATTTATGATTTTCTCACTTATAATTCGAAACTAATAAATCTTTAACTAGGAATTACATTTATCAATTTTTTTCTTCTTTTTATGCACAACTTTAGCTCGTTTAGTATTTTAAAATTAATTTTTAAAAAATTTTAATATACATATATTCAATAAAATTTTCATAAACAGCATATTGATTATATAAAGTGTTTTTAGTTTAGCATATGATTAATGTAAAGTAATATACTAATGATAATTTTTTTAATCTGTGGACTATTTGACTATTTGATTATATTTTCGTGACATTTTAATTGGATGTTATCTTTTTACTAAAAATATTCCATTTGACAAAACATTTAACTCAATACATTAAGGCGAATATAAGTTGGACTTGTTCGATATGAACGCTCACGTAAGATCTTTCTTGCACGTAACTTGGAGCGACGATCACGTAGCGG